TTTTTGCTAGGTTATCAGACAGGTTTTTTTTTTTTTTTTTCCTACGAGGAATAAGGAGCCGACTTCATAGAAAAGACGAGATTTACAACGATCACCTAATATTAAAATATGCCGATGGATTTAGTCGTCCTACTTGCGAACTGACGCAGTCTCTTTTGCCTCCTGCGAGTCAAAGGGTGCCCGTAAGCCAATACAAGGGGGCCAGAGTGAACCGGGGTTTTATTGCCAGTGATTTCTTAAGTTTGTTTTTTTTTGTTGTTTTTGTTTTTTTTTAATTCCACAACCAGCTGGGAACAACTCTTTTGCCACCTCAATCAGCAGCTTCCTCGCAGAGAGGCCGTGCCCATCACCAACACTCCCGCTAAGTCAGGAGATGGGGGGGGGGGAACTTGCTGGTGGCAGATTTGGCGCGGAGAGAAGCCCTTGCAACAACAGAGACACGTCGGGAACTTCCCCGCTCGCCAAGCGGGCCCTGCAGGCCAGGGGGGCACGGGGGGAACAGGGGGCAGCCAAACACCTCGAGAGTCCCAGCCCACAGCCAGGCCCGGGGAGGGGAGGGCAGGGCGGGGCATGCTCGGGGTGGGCTCGGCGGGGTCGAGGAGCCAGCGGGGCCTCAGTAGGTGCTGGCGGAGGGGCTGGTCAGGCGCTTCCCGATGTAGATGCTGCAAGAGAAAACACAGGGAGTGGGTTTTTATCCCCGGGAATGATTCCTGGGATGGGGATTTTTTACGGATTCGCTGGGTTTGGTGATCATTTAGGTTTGCATTTTTAAGGTCGAAGCGAAAGAAAATTTAAATTAAATTAATTTATAGTGTACAGATATGTATTTCTGTATTTAGACACTTTATACATTTACATATATTATTATTGTATCTTTTATATATTTATATATTTTATATATCTATATGCAATACAGAAATATGCAATTACATATTCAATATAACAAAACATTCATTTTCATAATTTTATTTCGATATATTTATATGAAGTATATTATAATTGTCAACAATATAATGCACTTATATATACTTTATTTTTACATTTATACATTATATTATCCTAGATCAATATCATACTTTTATAAATGTATTTATTTATATATTTACACATGGTGTATAATATAACACATTATCAATAATATATTATATTATCATTTACTAACATAACATTTATACTGCCTCGAGTGAGGGGCAACAACCTGCCCTAGAAAAAGCCCTTTCCAACAGGACCTGACCAAAAGCAAAGCCATAAGCAAAAGCTGAAGGGAGAATTAGCTGGATACTTACCCTAATCCCAGAGCCAAAACATGAGATATGAACAGAGATGGAATGAAAACCTTAAGAAACTCTGCAGAGAAAATGCCACCTTTTTTCATTGCTCCACTTTTTCTCATACTTAGAGACACTGAACGTTTGGGATGTCTGAAATGGAATTCCCTGGAAGAAGAAGAGGAGGGGGGGAGAGAGAAATTCAACAAAATTCTTTTTATTTTCTTTTTTTGCACAGATCTTTGTAGGAACATTTTTTTTTGGTTTTTTGTTTTTTTTTAAAGTACAAAGAGCTAGAGATCAAAGATCCCTTACAGAGAGCAAGGAATCAAAGAGAATTATAGGAGGGATTGTGGAGAGACCACTTACACAGACAGTATAGACACAAAGGGAGCAGGAGCTGAAGAGAGAGGTAGGTCCGAGAGAGGGAATTTCAGGATGTGATTTGTTAGCAAGAGCCTCATTTTTTTGTTCCCAACAGAGATACAGAAGTCTCTATTTTAATAAAAGGGCTTTGCACTCAAGGATCTCAAGGTTTCCCCTTCCGTGGATGAACATTACATACTTTACATAGAAAGAGAAAAAGGGACAGAGAATTCAGGAGACTTGCTCAGCACTCTTCCCACTCAATAAGCCAAGACTAAATCCCAGGAATCCCAGCTCCAAGTACCCAGCTCTCCCAATAATTGCAATTTTGTCAAGAAACCCTGTAATCAGCTTGCTGTGGATTTGTTACTTTCAAATAATTCCGTTGCTATTACGATTTTCATACTCCATTGTTTTGATTTTTTGCAGCCTTCCCCAAAGAGAAATCAATCTTTTCCTAAGGTGAACATGTTTGGAAAGCCAGAGTAACTCCTCTCCTTCCTATATTAATTAGAAAATATTAATATCCATTAAGAAAAGCAGAGTTTAACTCACTTGGGAGGAATGTTTTCAGGCCTACTTGACCAGTCTGACACCCAGTCTGCACTTTTCTTCAAACCTTCCAATTCTTTCTCTCCTTCTACTGCTTCTTCTTCGGACTGAAAAAACACATGGGACAAGCCTTTTAACACTCAATTAGTTCCTCCTCGGGGTGTTGAACTGAGAGTGACAATAACAGTGGTAAAATGATAAGAACCAAATGGTGGCACCTGATAAACCACCAAAGTGTTCCCGGGCTGCTGATTGTAGAGAAGAGATTTTATTTTGCTAACACAAGAGTCAGTAAACCACAAATTTTTATTGCTACATCCAGGATTTCCACATCATTGCAAGCTGTTTGTTTAACAACAACAACAAGAACAACAAAAGGATTATTTTACCCCTAAATAAAGCAGAACTATGCAAAAAACCAAATTATTTATAAATGGAAAAAACATTGGGTGGATGGCATTCCATTTAAAGCTCACAGAACGTGCCTGAAGCACAGAAAGTCAAATAAAAAGGTTTCAAAACCAGTATTTTGACTTTTTAAACGGTGCTATTAGTAATTTGAAATTTATATCGCTTGCGACTAGCAGCTGGTGCTGAACGCAGTAGGAGAAGGCAAGCACTCACTATAATTATATGATCCAAACTTTTAACTCGAAATCATTAGATGCAAATGTTACCACGTAGGAAAAACAATAAATTAAGAAAGACTTTGGCACAAACTCCTCCTTAGTAGGAAAACAATTCGCTGAGTGACTCTTATTAAAAGAAGATAAACCACTTACAACATTAAGTGGGAAGCACAGCAAAAGCAGGAGTGCCCAACTAGGACAGTCACAAGTGAGATGCAGAGCTCACCAACACCTTCCTTCGGCTCGTTCTGGCTCTCAGGGCAGAACTGCACCAGTCCCAGCTCTTTGACAGAATTAAATGCAAGGTTTCACTCTTCCAGGAATGCTTTTTTATTTGTACTGCTGAAGACAGCGAATTCTAGGACACGATCAGACTAAGAGTTGGGCATTAGCCTGCTCTCAGTTTGTGGAGATTACTCACTGTCATGTGAGGGAGTGCACAGCAATCACTGCACACCCTCCAGTCTTGGGCACAACTTTTTCTTATCAACATTTAAGCCCAGGTGTGACACCCGGTGTTACACAGTAACAGGACCGCTGGGAAAAAGCCTTTCTCAGCTGCAGAGATGGAGCCTTGTTCTCCCCCTCACCCCAAAGCTACTCATCTCTAAGTCAGATTTGAAATAATACCAAATATAAGCCTTGTCACATCACAAAGGCCTTGCTCTACCCCCTTGAGCCTACATCGAACATCTTCAACTTAAAACATATTTTGAAAAGTGAGCAGGTTTTAAAAGTTAATGAAGAGAATACCTGAGAACTACTGTCTTTACTTGTGTGCATTTCCACATCAAAAGTTATCTGTCCATCGTCTTGAGGTGAAGGGCTAGAGAAAAATTCATTTCGTTATGTCATTCTGTCAACTAAAGAATCATCACTTTGCCAAGTAATGAATCATTATGTAGGTAAACGTCAGCTGAGTCATTCCCACATGCACCTCTGCTCAGTGCTGAGTTACAGACCACCCTTCACCCCCCAAACACCAGCATTAGAAAGTCCTCCAACACCCCCCCCACACACACCTTTGCAGGTTTTTTGATCTTTACAATCCTACCTTTCTCAACAGACCGAAGGAAAGCAAGCACTGCCCAAAATTCCAACATCCACAGAAAAGCTGCAAATCCCTTTGTCCTTTTAGGGCACACTGTGAATTATACCTCTTTTTGTGGACGTGGGAATACCACAGTTCCCATAAACTCCTCGGAATGCTGGAGCACAACCAACATCCCCCTGAGAAAAAGCTTCACGGCCACGGGACCAAAAGGGACACGAACTGCTGGCAGAGCAGCAAACACTCCTTTACCTGTCACAGTGGGAACTACCTCTTGAGCTGCTCTGTCCTGACTCGTGCTGGGCATCCAGCAGGATCTTCTCCATGTCCCCATTGTGGATGGAGGAGGAGGAAGGGACGTGCTCCAGGCCCCCGTTCTTGCCGTTGCCGTTGTCGGTGCTGTTGCCGTTGCCATTCATCTGCAGCTCCACCCAGGAACCTGCGGGGCACCCGAAAGGTCACCTCGTGAACCAAACCCATCTTGGCTTTATCACCCCCCTGCCAGAGGGAAGCAGGGTCATGCTGTGCTCAGATAACCCACACTGCCCTCACCGAGCTCATCAGCGTGTGCCAGACACAAGAGAGACACGTTTCTTCCTCTCTCATCAACAAAAACACCCCAGTGGGCTGTTTGGGTGCTACCAAGCCCTGGAGCTGGTCAACAAAATGTCCCCTCTCAGTTGTTAATACTTCCATCAGCCATGCATCAGCCCACTCCCCTGTTCTGTCACTAAATCTTCATCCCCATGTGCAGCTTTACATTCTCCTTCCTCTGCTCCCCAAGGCCCTGAATCAACCCCTGGTTTTTCTGTTCATCACTGCCACTCTCAGGCCTCCAGTCAGTTTGCTTTGCCCTGGCCCAAACATCTCCCTGTTCCACCATCACATTAACTCCGCTCCCCCATTCCAATGGGAATCCCAAGGAAGGGGTTATTTCCTCACCCAGCTGAAGGACAAGCACAGCAACGTGGCATTAAAATACTTCACTGCTAATAAGAACTGAGGAGCACCAGAAATCCAGCACTCCCACACGTCATAACTGTTAATAAATTCCAAGCCACCACTGCAGCCTCTTCCACCTGCCCCTTTCTGTTTATTTTCCTGAGCCAGGGAAAGCTGGATAACCTAAAAGCTCAAATTTACTGGTTTTCCCCCCTTTTATTTTAGCTATACCTATGGAGTATCCACATGAGATTCAACAAGGAGCAACAGTGTATGGTGGATGACTAGAGCATTTTATTGTCAAAAGAACATTATTTCCCTCATCAGTCAAATGATGATTTCATACATGTATACTAAGTCATCACAACTCCTGTGTAATTCAATTTATGCCACCTAAAGGCAGGTGCTTTCTGGGTTGGGGGGGGATGTATTTGGTTGAGTATTTAATTTTTTAAAGTTTGGAAATCTTCGTTACTGAGGTAAAAATCATCAAGAAAAAAAAACCAAGCCTAAAGATACAACAACTGAAACCGCTTTTTAATCATTATTTGCACAAGTTACAATTTTAACACTGATCTTTGACTTATGCTTGATGCCATTACACTGCTGACCATGCTCTGAGCAGTGCTGGTGGTTCACAGCCTGGTTTCCCCAGGCTGTATCCACAAACAAGGAATTTTGGGAGTGCACAGTCACACTCTGGGCTTTTCAGATAATCAAGTGTTAACTGGGAAGAGGCAGCTTTGCCCAGTCAGCATCATCCAGGGACCTTGTTATTCCACATTCGGGATGAAGGCTGGCATCTAAATTTCAAAATAAAAAGGCCAGCCTAGAATCAGGAAGGTTGATTTGCAGAGAAACACACCTTTACACCTGCAGAAAAGCAGGATGGGCAGAAGTCAGGTAAAAAAGGCTCTGTGTTCCCCACAACCATTTTGGGGCAGGGAGCACCCACTGGGAGAATTAAAATGCTCAGGGTCTGCAAAGCCATCTGGGATTAAAAGTGAGCAGTGAGGGATAAATAATGTGAGAAAATAGAGGGTAAAAGAAGATGATCAGAAAGTGGTCACTGCTGCTCTTCAGACCCTCCACAGCCCCTCAGATCCTGCCCAAATCAACCCTTTGGGGATTTCTCCCCCCCTGCCTTTATCTGAAACACCCCGTGGCCATGGCAGGAAGCAAACCCAAATTACCCCGTGAGTAAAGAGTGCCAGGGAGCAGGAGGAGCCGACATGAGGAGCAGCACGTTCCCAGCTGACCTCACCGGGAATGACTCAAAATCCATTCAAGGAAGGCCAATCTGCCATCAGGCTCAAACACGCTCCGACTCCCACTGGCACTCAACCGGTTTGGGAGAGGGAGCCAGAGAGCCCCGGCAGCCTCAGAGGCTGAGGAGAGGGACACAAATCCCTGTTTCTTTAAAAGGACGGGCAGGAATGTTTTTTAAAAAAACCCAAAAACCAAACAACTTTTATAAGAATGGTATTTTTCTCCGAATTTTGTCTATGCTCCATGGCTAGTTATTTCACTATGACTTAATTCCGTGGTTTTTCTATAACTGGAGACCTGTTTAAACAACAGGAGCTAAACATGTTGGGGCAAAAGGGTCTCATTGTGTTTATCCACTCTGTGATTTCACCTGGGTGGGCGTGGTGGGATGTATCAGAAATTATATTCCTGTACACGTTTCATACATATAAAAGAATCCCAAAAGCTCACAAGAAGTCTGATGCATGGTCAACCTGAACAAACTTAAAAATATCACTTTTACAATGAAGTAGAACATGAAGAAAAAACAAAGAAACAACCAAAAACAAAACAAAAGAAAAGAAAAAAAAAGAGAGAGAAGGAAAGAAAAAGAAAGCCAACCAGATTCCCATAATGGTAATTATTAAGCAGATTTTCCATGACAGAGATAGATGAGCTCTTGCCTCTGATAGCATTTCTTCTTCTTGTCAATATGTAACAGAGCTTTATAATAATTAAAATACAGGAAGCATCTAGAACTCCAAGCAGGTTTTTTTCCCCTCCCTCTGTGAACCCAACAAAGCACAGGTTACCAGTTTTATTCCCAGCCCTCCTGCCCTCCGAGTGCTAAGGGATCTCTGGATAAAAGGTCCCAAACACGCACAAATGACAAGGGGGAGCACAAAATGAATAGGTGTCTGAGCTCATTAGCCCGAAAAGGGTCACTGAAGAGCTGGGATAATGGCAGAAAGCACTGCCACCAGAGCATTGTGCAGTGGCTGCACATCTGAAAGCAGCGCTAAGCCCGCGTGGGGCTGATGGGGGGGGAGGGCACAGACTGTCAAACCTTTCCTTGTGCCCACCTCTTCCAGCAAATCGCCTGGAGCTGGGCGAGCCTGCCAGGCTGATCCAGCAGCGAGATCTCCGTGGGCAGGCAGATCCAGGCCCGGCTCACAGAGCTCTCGCTGCTCCCACCTCCCAGCAGATTAACGTGTCCCACGGACACCAACAGAGAGGAAACATCAAATCACAGGAGCCTTAACGCAATTCCTAAAGCACGTCACGCCTCTGACAGAGGGATAGCAGGCCTGGATAATTTGCCAGAGTACCTGTTTGGCTCGGGGAACACTGCCACGGTTCTCAGGGGATGCAGCGTTACCACAGCACAATGGCAGCGTTATGAAACGGCCACACTTTGTTCCCCCCTCGCACAATCGCCGCTGAGTGACGGGAAATCAACCAGAGCCGTGCATTTCGTGGTCAGTTTAACTCCATTGTAAACCACGGAGGTAACAGTTAATCATTAATGCTATTTATTCACCTCTTGGAGGGCAGTGTTCTTAATAACCGGACGGAAGGACACATGGAAAGAGCCGTTTAGAAAGAAGGGAAAGCATCTGCCAAGCAAAGGGGCAGAGCCTACATGATGTGCCTCGCTGGAGTTATCCCGGGAACAAAAGGATGCAGCAGAGCAGCTGACAAGAGACGCCGGATATAGATGGGAACAGCTCACGTCAGTGCTATTGACTCAGCCACTGAATAAACTCATTCCCACAGCCGCGCTCCTCCCCCTTACCCCGCTGCATCCCCATCTTCGCTGCTCGGCTCAACTCCGCGGGCCGCGCTCGGGGTACAAGGGGGGGTCTCGCTCCCCCTCAGCCCGCCGGGAAGGGCCGGTCGGGCCGCCCCTCCCTCAAACCCGCTTTAACCACCCCAGTAAGAACCGCGAGGCCCCTCCGCTTTGCCAGGCCGCGCATCCGGCGGCTCCCGCAGGCCAAGACTCCGTGACGGCTCCGGTTCCCCCCTCCCCCGGTTCCCCCGCGCTCCCCTCAGAGCCCCCCGCGTTCCCCTCAGAGACCCCCCGCCCGCCGCCGCCGGCGCTTTTATACCCGCTCCGCCGCCGCCCATTGGCCCCCGGCGGCTCGCGCGGCGCGGCCTCCGCCAATGGCGGCGCGCGGGGGTCGCGGCCCCTCAGGGTTTTCCCCCCGCGCCTTCCCCTCCCCAGCGCCATTTCCCGCCCCGCACTCACTGTTGAGCCCCGGCTCGCCCTGCGTCGCCTCGGCCGGCGGGTTGTTGTTGTTGTTGTGGTGGTCCTGCTGCTGCTGCTGCTGCTGCGGCTCCTGAGGGCTGGACATGTCGGCGAGGGGCGAGCGGAGGAGCCGCTGTGGGGGCCGCGGCGGCAACAACAACAACAACAACAACAACCACCAAAACCCCGGGGCTCTCCCGTTCCGGGGCCCGGCCGCTCTCCCGCCCCGCCCCGCCCCGCCCCGCCCACAACGCCCCGGCCGCGCCTGCGCGGGCGCCGCTCCCCGCCCGCCCGCCCTCCATGGCGCGACCCGCGGCCGCGCACGTCCCGCGCGTGCGCAGGGCGGGCGGCGTGAGGGGCTGAGGGGAGGCGTGAGGGGAGCCGGGGATCAGCTCGAATAAAAGAGTTATTCGGGGTGGAAAAGCCTCGAGGGGTCGGCGCTTCCAACGTTTAACCGGCCCTTTCCAGCGAGGAGTTCCCCTCAAAACCCAACCTGAGCCTCCCTCGGCACAGCTTTGAGGCAGTTCCCGCCCCTCGTTCCTCCTCTCCCTGCGTTCTCCCGACCAAAGAGAGCCAGCGGGAGTAACTCATTTTAATACCAAGTTATTTCCTTTCACACCTTGAGAAATCATGAGCTTCATTCTGCTTGACGCCACCTCGGCTTTAAGGTTTATTTGGAGGCCTAGAGTCTTTTTGGTGCAACTTAATCCCATCTCAAACACACACATTTTAATATATAATATATATATATATTTATACCATAGACTCCTCCGATCAGCAGCCACAAAAATATAAATTGTGGTTTTTACTATTACAGTACCCACAGCAGGGGTTCAGTAACAGCGATACTGTCAGACTGAAGCCACACAGATATAACTCCATTTTTCGCTAAGAAATGCAAATAAATCACTTTATTTCTGTGCCAGAACTATTTCAGGCTAGAGAAAGAGCCTGTATGCCCAAGTGTCACACTCATCCTGTACTAGAAATACCCATTTCAAATGGGTTTTTATCTTCATCTCCGCTAATGTTGGACATTCAAAATCCACCTTTTTTAACGCCACCAATTTGACTGCGTGCCTTGAGTGACAGCAAAATACCCCGTGGAAAATCTGGATGTCTCTGGGAGAGGATTAGCCACATGTAGCAAAAAGAAAGCACTAATTGAAGCCATTTAATAAAACAATCTTACAGGTGGAAGGGCCGCAGATACATCCCAGATTGGAGTCCGAACAATGAGCTACTTATGATTTTCAATAGAAAAAAAAACCTGCCCAGGTAACCCAATCCCGCTTGGCAGGCCTAAAATCACAGGCTAACAGGAGTATTTGTCACCTCCCTCGTTCAGGAAGCGTTTGCCACAACACTTGTGGCATGAATATTTATCAGTCAAGTGGGACTATTAAAATTTGTGAGTCAGAAATAAATTGATCAAGATTATAGAGTGAGTCACTGCGGAGCCAGAAATAGCATTCACAAGGCCTGACTTCTCAGCCCTCTGCCTGAACCACTCCACAGTGGTTCCTTGAGGCGTTTAAATGATGTAATTGATGTTTGTAAAGTAATTTGAATCCTTGGATGGAAAATGCTGTGACAATGGCAGGGTTGGAGGGACAGAAAGCCACACGTTGATAGAGGAGAAA